CTGGCTGGGGAATTCTGGGAGTTGAAGTCCACACATCTAAAAATTGTCAAGTTTGAGAAACCCTATTGTACGTGAACGGCTCTCAATATTTCCCCCTCCTATTCCCCTTACCCTTTGAGGATAATCCGTAGGGCCGCAAGTTTGAAAGCATATAAAATGTTAACGACCAGCCGCCATCCTAACGCAGCGCAACTCTAAGTCACGCTGCGTCTCTCAACTGCTGTTGCTCCTCTCCGGCCAGGAAAGGGTGCGGAGAGAATGCTTCCCAAGGAACCCGGAACTCACTCCTAGCAGAACGCGGCGGTCACTCTTCCCTTTTTGACCTGTGTCCTAGACGGCGCATTCCACTGCGCCTGTGCGGAAGTGGCGCGCTCTGTTTGGCTGCGAGACATCCGGTCGGGCAGGACGGGGTCGGGAGGCGGCCCGCGGGCCTCTCGGGGCTGCGTTTTGCTCGCGGGGGAGGCGAGATGGACATTCTCAAGGCGGAGATCGAGCGGAAGCGGAAGCTGCTGGCGGAGAAGGAGCTGTTGGCGGTAAGCGGAAGGCAGCGGGGGCAGCGGCCGCTGATTTCCCGCCGCCTAGCCGCCTGCCTACCTCGCAGGGTTGTTGTTATTGGGATAAAGTGAAGGGAGACCGCCCTGCGAGCCTCTTGGAGGAGAGAGCTCGGGTCATTTAGGGCGAGCGATGGCGTCAAAGGGGGGAAGCGGTTCTTCCTCCTCCCTGCTTCTCTTTGCGGATGCAGGGAGCACTGGGGAGCCGTCCTCTCCCAGCCCGGCCTGCCTTGCGGGGTTGTTTGGGGGAGAAAACCCTGGAAGGAACGCCTGTGCGCTCCTGGACTTAAAATGGGTAACCAGTAGAGCAGTGTTGTCCAAACTTGGCCACTTTCAGATGAGTGGACTTCAACTCTCAGAACTGGGGAATTCTGGGAGTTGAAGTCCACTCATCTGAAAGTGGCCAAGTTTGGACAACACTGCAGTAGAGGGAATAGCCAAATAGGCAGCGGTGTTCCTGGGCGAGGGAGTTGGGACGGGTTGCTCCTTCTCCCTTCGCCCCAGGATGCTTTGACTTGGATGGGGACACGCACACACCCATGCACCCCCCCACACACCTGGGAATCGCCATCCCTTGGACCAGCCTACTCTGCAGGGGTGTTGTTGTGAGGAAAGCAATAGGGGAGGGAGGGCTGTCTGGGGATGTATGAGCTCCTGGGGGGAAGATGGGATGTCAGTCTAAGGAACCCAAGGAAGACCGTGCTGCACAGTATATGAAACCACAAACTAGACCACTTCGTTGTAGCCTAGCAGGATGTCCAAATCCAGCCCGTTCTGCTTACGGGTTACTGGATATGGTTGGACATTTGCCATTCCTGCTTAAAAACCCCGTCACATGCTTCTGCCAGAAGCAGTTTGTATCCAAGTAATCTACTCTTCACCACATTTTGTACTGAAACACCTATAAAGTAGTTTAGATCAACAAAATGGTTCCTAGCAGAGTCTCTCTCTATTCAAATGTATTTTGGGACGAAGTTATTGAATATTAATGTCTAAGTGTTATAGCTTTCTTTAGGATTACATATATTGTGTATGTGGGAAGGGGTTATTGATCACTGTGTTTAAACATGTATTTCTGAAATTAAAAAGAAACATTGAAAGAAGAAATATGAGAGTTCACTTAACGTGATATAACTTCTCTCTTTCAGGAAAATAAGAAATATTTCAAACGCGGTGAATTAGCTAAGAAGGAGGAAGAGGCATATTTCAAAAGATGTGGATACAAGGTAATGGCTTCGTATTCGTGTCAGGGATGTATCTAGTTATGCAGATTCTCTTTGGTCGCGTATTAAAATATATTAATCTAGTTATTTTTTTTCATTCTGTCACGTTTGCACTTTAGCCAGTAAATGAGACGCCACCGAGAGAGGTACGAGTTCCCAAGCTAAGTTTGCAATGCAGGAAGAGGCATGCATGAATATGCAGCTACTTGAGTTTTTATTTTTAGTTTGGCTTCCTGTGTCAAGGGCATGAAGCTGCTTGGGAATGGAGCTGCTCTTATTTTCTTTATGTTGTGTCCCACTAGGCATGGACAGCGGACCTGAGACAACCAGTCCTCCTCTTGAGGCTTGTTCAGAAGCTGTTAATCTCTAGAGCAGTGTTTCTCAACCATGGCAACTTGAAGACGTGTGGACTTCAACTCCCAGAACTCCCCAGCCAGCCATGCT